TAAACCCTAAGCCTTAAACTCTAGCCTCGGCAGGTTTCCAGAGCCAAGCTGTTGGACACGTTGAAGAAGAGGCCGGTCGTGTTCTAGGGCCTCATGAGGGATTACGAAGGTTAAAAAGGGGGGAATTGAAGGCGTTTAAAGGCTGCAACCCTAAAACCTAAACCCTAAACCCTTAAACACGAGTTCATAGGTTATTGACGGAGTTGTGTCGGTTTTTCTGGTAAAGGTCTTGGGGAGATTCAGAGCCTTGAGCTGCGGCATGTCTATAGTCGGTTTAGGGTTTGGGGTGTAGTGTTTGGGGTTTAGGGTTTGGGGTTTAGGCGGTTTAGGGTTTGGGGTTCAGGGTTCAGGGTTCAGGGTTTAGAGTTTAGGGTTTATGGTTTAGGGTCCCCCGCGTAAAGACACAATGATCTTCAGCCTGCTGCTGCTGCTGCTGCTGCTGCTGCTGCTGCTGCTGCGCATATTCGAACCCTACCAGCTTGCATACTCTTCATCGCGACATACCTGGGAAAGAACGCTTTCAGCAAACTCGGCTCACTCCAGCAGTCAGAACCGCCAGCGACAGCATCATACTCACGATCGTCATGGTCATCATCGCCATCATGCAACAGAAGGGGTTTAGGGTTTTGGGTTTATTAGGGTTCTGTGTAACTCAGTAAGGAGTAAGGCCCCTATATTACAGCTCCACGCTCCGACTCCTGCTCAGGTATGTCTGCGTTTATCCGATCACCATCACGGATAGCCTGGCCGCAAGCTTATGCAGAGCTGCAGTTAGGGTAATTAAGAGTGTATATAACCCTATACGCCCTAAACCCGGGACCCTAGTTTTCAGCCCCAAACCCTAAACTCAAAGCCCTAAACCCTATACCATCCTCCCAAAAGCTTGTACGGTCTGCTCGTCGGGAGCTACAGGAGTGCATTCCGGGTATGGGGTTTGAGGTTTAGGAGTTTAGGGCTGGAGGCGTCTGACTTGACAGTTGGAGAAGTGATTCCGAAGGCCGCACGAATCGGAATTTTTTGTCCCGTGTCTGCGTGTCAACCCTAAACCCTAAACCCTAAACCCTAAACCCTAAACCGACCCTAAACCCTAAACCCTAAGCCCCGTGTGTGTGTGTGTGTATGTTTGTGTGGGGGGCTTGTTCGGGGACTTCAGGGTGTTTACGGGTTGAGAGGCCGAGGAAAGATGACAACTTCCCTCACTTCCTGCTAGGGTTTGGGGGTTCAGGGTTTAGGGTTTAGGGTTTTGGGTTTAGGGTATAGGAAATTTGAGGCCGGAACAGAACTCTAGCAAGAGCACTTATAAACCTACGCGGCGCCATAAAAGCTCAAAGCCTCAATCCGAGCCACCCCTGCAACCATAAGCCCGAAACACTACACCGCACCTGCTGGACTTGATTCTGGGAGTTGGATCTGGGCCTGAACTGAACTCCCCAGCAAAGCTGGGGAGTTCGGTTTAGGGTTTAGGGTCTAGGGTTTAGGGTTTAGGGTCAAGGAGTGCTCTCTTTCTGCTCTCTTTCTTGCTGCTGATGCGGACATTGTTTTGAAACAGAGCCTGACAGATAAGTTCAATTGGCCTCGGGTCATACACCCCCATCCCAAGTTCGAAACCCTAGACCTCTAAACCCTAAACCCTAAACCCTGCACCCTAAACCCTGAACCCTGAACCCTAAACCCTAAACCCTATCTTGTGAGGCCATCAAGGGCGGCAAGACGGTGCGCCGCGTGGTCGTGAACGAGGCTCCCCTTCGACTCCGAAGCCCCAAAAACTCAGCACTTCGACCCAGTAATGTCTTAGTGGGCTTCAGGGTTTAGGGGTTTTAAGGTTTTAGGGTTTAGGGTTTTCGGGTTTAGGGTTTTAGGGTTTAGGATTTTAGGGTTTAGGGTTTAGGGTTTATACAGTAAACTGTAGGGGCCTTAGAATTAGAACAGGGTTTTGGGGTTCCTTTAAAGTGTTCCTTTAAAGGGTTCTTATTATAAGGGCTACTATAAGGGTTCCATAAGATAGGGGCCTTAATAATTAGAATAGGGTTTTTTGGGCGTTCCTTAGTATAATTATAGTATAACATACTCCGCGGGTTTTGGGGGTTCCTGAGTATAATCATAGTATAACATCGCCCCAAACCCTATTCTAGTTGTTAAGGCCCTATATTACCTGCAAACCTTATCGGGTTGAGGCCGGAATTTATAGTTTTTGAGGGGGTTCAGGGTTTAGGGTGTAGGGGTTTGGGATTTGTTGGTGTCGACGCGTTGCGTTCAGAAAGGAGCTGGATGGTCTTCGGAGTTGCAGATACCCGGAGAGCCCAGCAGCCCTAGTTATTTCCGGAAGATGCCTTCCACTTAGGGTTGAGGGGCTTAAGTAACATGAAGAGTTAAGGTAGACCCTTAGCCAAGCGATATTGAGCTCTCTGGGCACCTGGAATGTTCAGACGGGATTATCTAGAGTCTTATCAAGGTTGCTCTAAACAGGTTTGATAAAGCCTTAAAGCTCTCCATATGCGAGCATATTATTCCTTAGGTTTCTTATTATAAGTATACTATGAAGGGGCCCAAAATTCTAATTGTTAAGGCCCCTACAAGCACTTATGGGGCCCAGGCACCCAAACAGTGGCCTTGTAGGCCTCAGATGAAATGAGCTAGGAACTCAGGCGCTGTGTTTCGGGTTTGGAGCTTCTAACAGGAACACCCTAAACCCTAAACCCTAAACCCTACAGCCAAACCGGGCTCAGGGTTGTAGGGCCAAGGCTTAACTTCATGGGTGTTTACGGGCTTCGGGTACTCCTAATTTTGGCATTTGTTGTTCAGGATTTAGGGTTTAGGGTTTAGGGTTTTGGGATTATTATTTGTTGTTCAGGTATCCCAAATCCCTAACACCTAAACCCTAATCCCAAATCACAAACAAGCACTACTTGGACCAAGAGTGCAGAGAATCTCATATACCCTGGCTCTGACCCTCGCCGCCCAAAGCCCAAAGGTTCTTAAACCCGGAAGCCATAGTCCTATTAGGGATTAGGGTTTAGGGTTCCCGGAAATCTTAAGTAACAAACTTAGGGTTTAGGGTTTAGTGCTAAACCCAAAAATCAAGTCTTAAATCCTTGGCACGACATAAATCTAAGACCCCAAAAGTCATGAGCCCAATCTCGGGTACATGTTGGGGCTTCCGAACGTAGGTGACCCTAATATAGTACCCTAAGTCGTAGGATCCTTATGAACAGGGACCCCAAAATAGGGGACCCCTCATTTTCAGAAACTCCCATGCGCACCCCTAAACCCTAAACCCTAAACTCTAAACCCTAAACCTAAACACTAACCCCTGAACCCTAAACCCTGAACCCCCAGGCCCTGGAAGCCTTGGCAGATCCCGTGGAGGAATTCCTGTGCTCCAGGGTCTGGTCCAGTTTGGGGTTTAGGCTTCAGGGTTTGGGGTTTGGGGGTGTAGGGTTTAGCGTTT